CCCCCCCCCCCCCGGGCGGCTATTTTATGCTATTCGCATGTAAAATTTGATTTTATTTTGTGAAACAACAAAGCCCACAAAGTATAACAAAATCATGATTGAAAAATATGATATTAAATAAATATCACGTTTCTTAATATGAATCACAACAGGCTAAAACTGTACTGTTTCACGTATAAGCATAGAAATTCCGTAAAAGATACATTGATTTAGCCAAGAAGTCAAAAGACTTTCTTGAAGGACAAGGCATCTGGGGAACTATTTTGTCATTTCTTGCTTTTGTTTTGCTTTCATTCCTTACGATTCTCACTCTTGCCTGAATTAACATTGCTCTTATCGTTACAATTACATATCATAATTCCAGACAGGAGCATAAATAAATAAACAAGAAACCAAACCTCGTCTGCCACCTCGCAAAATTGAATAAAGTTACGAGATTACCTCTTCCCTAGCAGATGCCACTCATTCTCGTACAAATACACAAGCTCTTTACGTCTAGATAAATACACATGCTTGCCATAGAGAAGCAGCCATGGTCTTCCACCTTCCAAATCTATCTAGCTCATAACAAGGCTGGTGTTGCTTGCTGTAGCTCGCAAATTTTATAACGAGCATAGCATCTTTTGCCTTCTTAATCAATGGAGTCTAATGGTGATTTCAGGGTTTTGTGGTTCCAAATCTTCTAGCAAGCTTTGGCCTCAGACAACGTATCTCATAGCTGATAATTTTCAGTGACATTAATCAGAATAAATTCTACCATACTTCCTAATACCAGTTATGCACTAAAATAAAATATAAGATATGGTTTTTAAACTCACTTAGAATTTGCCCTTGGAGCCTCCCATAGTGAGAAGAAAAGGTCATCCTCTGAGAAGGAAATGGAAAAGACAGCTCCCCGAAAACATTCAGAAGATTGTAATGATCCACCTCATTGATATCTAAAAACATGTTTGATTTTTCTTTTTAATTGCATAAGGTCTGGAAAATACATGTTTGATTTTTCTTTTTAATTGCATGAGGTCTGGAAAATTATGATCACATACTGCTTTAGGATTCTTGGATTTTACACATGCGGGTTGGTTGTTGGACAAATCCCAGAGTTTTACATGCAGAAATATTCGACAGAGAATGGAACTATAAGAACCATTGTTAACCTCTGCTTTACAGGAAGGACCAAAAAAGGAACAAATGACTTCACCATTTTATCTATTGATCCAGCAGCAAGAAGCTGTCAAACATGACAAGGACAAAGTCAAGTTGATAATCTAAACATCTAACTAGAACCGAGTATTAGAAACATGAAGATGAAGATAGTACATTAGGTGCTGAAGGATTATAAGAGGTCTTGCAAACAGCTTTGTCGCGTGCACGGAGTAAAACTTGGCTTCAGATCAGAACCTGATTCAGACTTGGCAGCACGGATGTCAAAACCTTGAACTGTACCATCTTCAATACTCACCTGCAAGGATATCTCAGCATTTTAGAGCACATTTCAGCGCCTCACAAAACCAAACACTAAATATACCTATAATCTATGTAAACAATGGAAACAATGTTCCCCCTGTTTTCTTTATGAATAAGAAATGAAAGGAACTCAAAATAGTAAGGACAGTCATAAAAAGAAGGATGAAGCACACACCACAAATAAATGCTTATCGTGCGGATCCCATGCCAAGCTTTCAACATCAGCTGTGACCGACAACTTGAAACCAGGATCTGAAGGGGCCATCACGCATCCCTTTTTGATTCCAGTAGTAAATTAAGACCAGATGTCTCATTGTAATCCTAACTTAAATGGACTCAACTGGGTTTTTTTTATATAATTCCATCCCTTCTCTAATTATCTGAGAATTTAACAGCATTGTTTTCTTTTTTAAAAGGTTTTTTTTTTAAGTTATCGTGATTTCTTTATTAATATTATTATCAGTTTAAAAATTTACAGTTTGTATCTTAAATTTGAACGCATGTAACAATATAAATTCTTTACCTGGGAGCGTCCAAAAATAACAACAAAAATTATTGATTATTTATAATTAATAACTAAAAACTCAAGTTAAAATTATCATCAAATTTTAAATAAAAAACCTCGAACCCCTTTCCCCTCTACTATAGCCACTCCTGTCTCTCCCACAATTGCAAAAAAATCTAGTGAATCATCACCTTATCATAATAATATGATGAATCGCTCTTGTTATCATCCCCTGATGGATTGTTCATCGTTTGCAGGTGGCGGCAGCAATTTTGAGTTGAGCTTCCTGTTGCAAGTTTTGAAAGAAGAAAACGACAACTTGGTATTAAAAAAAAAATCAACCCTGATTCCTGAGATTTTCCAAGGGAAAAAAGAAAAGATTTAAGAAACAAGGCAACTAGTTTACCAAAATGATTTAAGAAATTGAGCACCATATACAAACCAATTTTCTCTTCCCACCACATTATATAAACCAGCAGCTAGCTACCCATTGAATCCTCTGTAGCAAACCCAAAATCTCCAAAGCCATCGTGCACCAATGTTTCTGTGTTACAAAACTAGTTTACCAAAATGTTTCTTTATTTTTGTCTGTGTTACAAAACTAGTTTACCAAAATATTTCTTTATTTTTGCAAAAAAAAAAAAAAGAAGAGAAAAAAACACCTTGGGTATTATCTCATTCAAGTGATTTGAACCGACTAACTAATTGATATTTTTTCACTTCAAAACCCACTAATCCAAATCCACCAAAGCAGTAGACTTTTATAATTTTTAAGACCCACTTGGTACCCATTTCACTAAAATCAAAAATTTCAACTTCCCTTAAAAAGGGTTTCTTTATTTCTTTATCAACCCTAAAACCCCAAACTTGATTTGGCTGAAAATAAATCCAGCCCAGAAAAAAATAGTTTTTTTTACTTCTTTTTTATGTTTTAAACAAAGTAAATTAAACCTAGCCTCCAACAAGAATTCAAAGAATAGAGAATACAGATTCAACAAAAACCCAACTTTCCATTCTCCATATATTCATAAATCAAAAGAAGAAAATCCCAAATGAAGGGGCTCTTAAGGATTCTTTACACGGTGAAATTCTCCATGTATTCATAAATGAAAGGAACAATTTTAATTTTCATTACTAAAGTCAGGAACAACACCATCAATAATATAAGTGTAGATCTGAAATCAAATCTAGAAACAATTTTAATTTTCATTACTAAAGTCAGGAACAACACCATCAATAATGTAAATGTAGATCTGAAATCAAATCTAGAAACTATAGGTCAATTAGTTAGAAGTGTAGCTCAATTAGTTAAATATTGAATTTACTCCTGGAAGATTACCGGTTGTAATTTTAGAATTGTAATTTTATAAATCTTAGAATCATTATAAATTAATTTATATGATCGTTAAATTAAAAGTTTGTAAAATTAATTGAAATACAAACAAGTTAGTTAAAATATCTATATTAATAAAAAAAAAAATAGAGATACAAAATCAGCCATCCATTTTTAAATAACCCGCCATCAATCCCCAAAACCCCCATTTTGTGAATTAACTTTTGGGGTAAAGAAGCTGATCTAGATCTGGATAAAGAGAGCTCATTTTTCTATGATTGTTCGATTTATGAGAAAACAAGAATAAGAAAATAAAAAAGTAAAGAAAATTAGAAAAAGAGATAAAGAGATGAAGTTGCATAGATCGTAGTATGTGTAATAATGATAATGATAATAATAATGAGGAGGAGAAGGATGATAATGATAATAATAATGAGGAGGAGGAGGAATAGGAGGCATCAAATATGGATTGCTTGTTATTGTCAAAGAGAAAGAGATGAAAAACGATGGTTATAATATATGTAACGGTGCTTAGATCATTTTATTCAATTTGAGATTTTAGGTTGAACCAACATGCAAATTGTAATTTTTCAAAATTCGATAAATAATTACAATTTCGACTAAATTATACTAAGCTAGAGTAATTTTCGACTCAACTATACAATTTCGACTAAACTATACCAATATTACAGTAATTTTTCCTTTTATATATCCGGGCATTTTCTCCTCGGAAACAACTCTTTTCACATCCATGTCTGTATTCTCCTATAGACCTATAATGGGTAATGGCGACTAATTGCCTCAGCATCAAAGAATTATCTTGGCATGTGAGTAAATTATTTAGTATGCATATGCATCTTTGCTATTCATGTGACCGAGTTCTATAGCTGTTGTGTTCAATAGTTTTTACCTTGCAGGCATGATTTGAAAACCTTTCCATTCTATTTACTGCAGCGGTTGTCTACAATAACAGATGATTCAAAGGAGCAGGTTCAGAACTAATGGAAATAGAATCCTGGCTTTTTCATGGATAGAAGATTTCATTAGCTCGAGTGTCTGTGTAGCAATTGCACAAGATCAGTCCACAACCAACCCTCCATGTGAAGAGAGGGGTTCTCGGCTTCCAACTTTCGATGCACCATCCCAGACAACGCTCAAATCTTCCATTCAATCACCAGAAATTACCACATGAGCATATCCCGTCATGAAAATGGTGAAATCTCATGATATCCCTCACAATGATCTCCCTTCCCGTGATCTGCGATGCACCACATATAACTGAGTGGCAATCCTCACATATCCTAAGGTTTTTCACTATCCTTATTTTGGAACCAGGAATTGTACTGATCAACCCAAATGCCAGAGCAAGCTTCTCACTGTGAGTCATTAGTATACGTCTCTTATCTTCGTCATTCACATCATACGACACAGAACTCAAGTGTGGTTGGTATCCTTTAGCCTCCAACCTATCAAGAAGATCCTCCAGTGCTTGTTTAATCTCACCAGACCTTGGATGAGTCATATCCCCTGAAAAGAACTCATGAACCATTCCTTTCTCTGATTCTATCCAGCTAAATGCAGGGTTCTTTCTTAGACCTCTTGTTCTCATCAATTTCCTAACAGTAGAGACATCATTCCATCTTCCACACGATGCATATATGTTAGCAAGCAAAATGTAGTTTCCAATGCAATAGGGTTCAAGCTCAAACAGATGGTTAGCAGCAATTGCAGCAATGTCAGCTCTTTTATGGATACGACAAGCTCCAAGCAATGCTCCCCACACTCCTCCATGAGGCTCTATTGGCATTGTTTTAACAAGCTCATGTGCTTCTTGCAAGCGCCCAGCTCGTCCAAGCAGATCCACCATACAAGTGTAATGATCAGCAGATGGTTTAATACCATAACATTTTTCCATCAACTCAAATATCTGCCAACCTTGTTCTACCATTCCTGCATGACTGCAGGCTGTAAGCACCCCAATAAAAGTAACCCTGTTTGGTTTTATCTCTGTTTTCACCATCTCATCAAACAATTTCATTGCATCATGTGCAAGACCATGCATTGCAAACCCCAAAATCATTGAACTATAAGAATACACATTCCTCTCCTTCATGCCCTGAAAAACTCTATACGCATCTCCAACACTCCCACACTTTGAATACATATCAATCAAAGCTGACCCCACAACAACACTATGCTTACCACCAAACTCAGATTTCTCTGCAACATCACGAATCCAATCAGCATACTTAGCAGCGCCCAATTGAGCACAAGCTGAAATAACACCAATCAAAGTAATCTCATCAGTTTCAACACCAAATTCCTGCATTTTCTCGAAAAACCTTATTGCCTCTCTTGGTTTCGCATTTTGTGCAAAACCCGAAACCATCACAGTCCAAGCCACCATATCCTTCACTGGCAATCCATCAAACAACTCTCCAGCACTCTCCATGTTCCCACTCTTCGCATAAGCAGAAATCAACTCCGTCCAAGAAATCGCGTCCCTATTGGGCATTTCATCAAACACTTTTCGCCCACACTCCAAAAACCCACATTTTATATACATACCAATCATAGAATTCCCAACATGCAAATCCTCACCAAATCCCCCAACCAAAATCGTTTGCCCATGAATTTGCCGCCCCAAACCCACATCCATTTTAGCACCACAAGCCTTCAAAAGAGCAGTAAATGTGAAAGAAACAGGCACAACACCTTCTTTTCTCATCAAACTATAAAACTCAGTTGATTCATTTAAGCTTTCCTCAATCAAATAACCTCTGATTAGAGCATTGTAAAGGAATGGATTTGGGTATTTGACCCGATTAAAAATTGACAGTGGATATGGGTCCATAGGGATGTTAAGTTTTGTGAGCGTGCGGATAAGTTTTGCAAGGACATAGCAGGATTGGTCAAGGCCATTAAGGAGGATGCGGGCATGAACTTGTTTGATTTGAGTGAGGTTTTTGCAGCCATCAAGTGTGGTAACAATTTGGGATTCTAGTTGCTTAGGTTGTTGTTGTTGAATTTGATAGAAAGGAATTGGTTTTTGTGGGTTTTGAGGGAATTGCTTGAGGGAAATGCAGGCTAGGGAATCGGATGTGGCCGTGGAGAATTTGCGAGAGAGGGTGACCATTACACTTTTTTTTTCTTTTTTTTTTGGAGGGAGTTCGGTTTCATGGAGATTAATTTGTAGTTCTGATACAGTTACGACTTACAAGCTTACAAGTTAGTCTTCAATCTTTACACCTGATTTTATTTTAGGTCCTTCAGAATCTTATATAAATATCAAGTAGTTTGTTTTTTCAACTAAAAAAAATAAATTATTATAAATATCAAGTAGTTTGTTTTTTCAAGTAAAAAAAATAAATTATCTTTTTATGTTTAATAGTATAATAAAAAATATTTTTTAATATTTAATTATATTATAAAAAATAAGCTAGAAAATAATTTATTAATATTTTATTTTTTTTAAATTTATTAAAATAATGAGGAATAAATCTTACAAATTAAAAAATTAAAAAAAAATAAAATTGAAAAAAATATATAATTTCATAAATTATCTCAAATAAAATAAATAATAATTAAAATAATAGAGATCAAATTAAAAAATAAGAAAAAGTGAGAGATGAAGAAACTAAAATAATAATAATTAATATTTCATAAATTATTTCAAATAAAATAAGTAACAATCAAAAGAATGAGGACCAAATTTGATAGATAAAAAAATTAAATAAATAATAAATAAATAATAATTATAAAAATGAGGATGAAAGTTAATATAAAAAGTAAATTTTAAGAGATGAAATTGAAAAATAAATATTTAAAACAAAAAATATATATAATAATTAAAAGTCTGAAAATCAAATTTGATATAATCAGCAAATAATATGATATTTTTAATTATTTTATAATTTTTAGAAAGTGTTTTTTGCTTAAAATTTTCAAGATAAATAATATGATATTTTTAATTTTTTTTATAATTTTCAGAAAGTATTTTTCGCTTAAAATTTTTAAAAAAATATTTTATTTAAATTAAACTAAATATTTTTTTACTAGAAAATATTTTTTATTGGTTAATTTTTTTAATAATAAATAAATATAAAAATATTTAAAAAATAAATTTTTAAAACTAGAATCAAAGACAGTAATCAATTTAATATATATTACACACTTTCCTTTTATTTTTCCAATTAAGTTTTCATCTGTATTATTTTCCCTATTTTTTATTCGTATTGTACCACTTTCAAAAACAAAAACTCCTTTATTGTTTTAGGGGGAAAACGTGACTAAAAATTCCAACGACAAGTCGGCCCATTGGAGCATCAGAAAACGGGGCTATTTCGTGAAGGGTAAAGAATAAATAAACTCCACATCGCGCAATGATGACGGCCAGTGAACAGACCATCTGAGAGTCGTGAATTTTGAAAAAGAAATCATGTTTAGGGCTGCAATTAGGCACTTTTCAACGAAACCTAAGCCAAAAATGAAACCAATAGAGCTCAAAACACCACCAGAGCAAACCCAGACGATAACAAGAGCGATTTTCGACATCGTAAAAGAACATGGTCCTCTCACTATCGCAGAAACCTGGGAAAAGGTCCAGGTAATTCCTTCAATCCTTACCATAAGTGGGTTCTCCTGATTCTTCTTTGCTTTGATTGCTTTTATGGGTTGCTTTGTTTTAATGGTATGGTGTTTGATGAATTGTCTGGGTAGGAAGTTGGGTTGAGAAGACTGACAAGCAAAAGGCATATGAAAATAGTGTTGAGATGGATGAGAGAGAGGCAGAAGCTTAAGCTCATTTGCAATCATGTAGGGCCTCATAAGCAGTTTCTTTACACTACTTGGTTCACTAAACCCAACTTCAAGCTGCAAGCAAAGCCGGTCAATAAACAGCCTTCACTACCCAAGCCTTGAGACTGCATGAGTATCGTAATAGAATCAAGGGCAAGACTTGCTTAAATCATGCTAATCTTTCTTGGCATTTTGTTATAACCACTGATGAACTGTGAAATGATGTAAGATTAGTGGCTAGCTGATGCTCATTGTCTTCCTTGCAAATCCAGTTTGATACATACCATGGATGGCTGATTGAGCAGATTCTGTTGTAGTTGTTCACATCCTTTATTATCCATGGAAATCCAGTTTCTATTATAAAAGATTTCCTACTACTGCTAAAGATTATTGTGTTGTTTTATCTTTTCTTAATCATCAACTGATTTTCCCAGTTTGATTGGCATAAAGTGAGTTTATCTGACAACTTCTTTGGTTCGGTTGGATGGAACAAACATGTATACGCAAGCTGAAAGAGTCTCACCTGACGCTTGCAAATTAACATTAACAAAACACCTTAATTTCTTTTCTCCATTTAGTTCTTTGACATTGTATTTATTTAGAATTGATTTTCTTAATTTATTCCCCTTCACTTTTTATGGGACTATTATAGTATTGACAAAATATCTTAACATTGAATTAGTTCTTGATTTTATTGTTTTTATGAGATTGAAAGTTAAGGGATTAAAATTGAATAAGGAGAAGAAAAAAAAAACAGCCCTATTATAACAAAAGTTGGTCCATCTGCTTTTTACCTAAATATTATCTAGGGTTTTGTCAAGGTTCATTTTTTGTTTTTTTAGTCTGAGGATTAAAATTCCAAAACTTTATTTGTTTTTATTTTGATACTTCATTTATCAGTTAACCAAGATTCCAATTATATATATATATATATATATATACTCTTCGTATTAATAAGTTTTTTTATAAGAAAAGTTTTATTAAAGTATTTTTTAACTTTTATTTTGTTTAAAAAACAGATCTGATCTATGAATTTTTTTGAATTGAGTTAATTTTATGATTTGAGATTAATTTATTTCAAGTTTAATACCACTTTTTATTTTATTTTAATGCTTATAAAGTAATTATTAGGTATTTTTAGGTGAAAAATTAGTTGGAATTTTTTTTTTTAAGGGTCTAAGACTCTGATTTCTCAGTACTATTATAATAATTGGAAACTAGTTTTTGTTAATGACATCTTTATTTATTAAAAAATAAAAAAATTTAGGTGTGTTTTGGACTTGGCTTTCTTATTGTATAAACTTGAAAAGCCAAGCTTAGAAGTATGTGGCTTTTTTTTTTTTTTTTTTTTTTTTGTTCAAGCCTTTTTTTTTATGTATTTTTTAGTTTGTATAATTTTTTTATTTAATTTTTAATAGAAACCCTTTCTTTTTTAGATTGTTAATTAAATAAATAAAAAATAAATTTTAAATGATAAAATTATTAAATCCAATAAAAACTAAGATCTAAATCAAGAATTAAATAAGTTAATCCGGTTTAATTCATATTAATAAAAAAAAAATTATTATCCAAGTAAAATGATTAAAAAAAATGATAACTCTTTGCATAACAATAACATATATCTAGAGCCATGTGATACTACATTCTATTAGGCTGAATCCATCAATTGCTAGGCTTCAATGATTGAATAAAGGTAGTAGATGATGACTCTGCTCACGCCCTTCATTCATCATGTCTCAAAGTAGAGATTGTATGATAGGCACGTGGAAAATCTACAAGCCATCACCTTGGTTCCTTGGCTTATCTTTCTTGAGGAGCAATAACATTCTTGAGTTCTCACTTGATCTCATGTCTTTTCGATTATGTAGATTTACAGCTCTATTTTGATATATTTTTTAGATTACTGACTTGGTATTTGATTAAAAAATATAACTTGAAACATAAAAACCCTTGTATTTAGAGTTTTGAATTCATAATTAATTTTTTTCTTGCTAATAAAAATCATAATTAAAAAAAAAATTCAACATATGAAGTAGGAGTGTATTTTCAATTTGGTTTAGTTTTTATTTAAAAAACTAATCACACTGAATTTTTATTTTTTTAATTTAAAATCAAAATCAATTCAAATTGACTATTTTTAATTTAATTTAATTTATTTAATTAAAAAAATATAAAAACTCAATATGATCCAGTTTTGTTTCACGTGAAGGGCAAGCTAATGCCAATAAAATGAAAAAGATGATTGATGAATTAATTGGTCTCAGAATTTCAACCATATATACAAGTCCTAGCCTTTTCTTTTTAAATAATGACAAGACCAACAAGATTTTCACCAATTCATAAAAAAACTAAAATAGTTTGGAAAATTCATGAAACCAAGACAAATAGAAAAAGTATAAATTCTTTTTATATATAAACAAATAGAAAAAATGCACATTCCTTTTATAAAAAAAAGAAAAGTTTTCTATCTCTTTATCTACTGTTTAATAATAATAATAATAATAATAATAAAAAAGTGTTCACGTGTCAAGATAAATAGAGTATGAAAGAGTGAAAGATTGAAGTTTTGGGTTCAATTGATGAAGCTAGTGTTGAAAGTTATAGTAATAATAAGAACAATAAGAGAAGTAGAGAAGAAGAGTGATGAGAGCGGTGCAACTTGAAAGATATTTGGGGGGGAGAGGGGCAACTAAGACCTAAAGGTTTTCAGGGTTTCCTTTTATAATAAGTTTAAATATCGGTTAAGGTAGTTCAGTTCAATCAATTGATTTAAAACTTTAGACATCAAAATCAAACCAAATTGATTTTTTTCTTAGGTTTTTTAAGTAATTTATTCAATTTTTTTCTTTTTTAATTAATTTTTTTATTTTATCAGTTTAATCAATTTTTTCGCTTACCGCTACCATGAAAAAAACACTGCCAAAGTTAGCTTCTATTCAAAGAAATTAAAGGTTTACTTCGCCTCGCGTTGATACAGCTCAGGCAGGTGACCGATAAAGCTTGGCTGGAAGGAGATTTCTTTAGCTGATTTCATCGTGGATTTTGGCACATCGCAATGCTGATCCTCATCAATAACACTGAGGCCAGAGAAAAAACCGTAAAAGTTGACATTATAAAGTCATAAGCGTTGATAAATGACGAAATCAGCTGGCATAAACGGGCCACTGACTTGATTCATCCGATTATGTACATAATATACAGCTCTTTTGAAAGGTAGCAAGGAAAACACCAACCAGAGAAAAGGTATGGCTATGGCTATGGCTATGGATATGGGCTATAAACTAACAATTTCCTATCATCAGTTAAGGCAGTCTCTTTGTAAAGATTTTGATGGAACAGCATAGAAATGCAGCTCGTATCATGCTCCAGCAAACTGCGGGGAGGACTGATCTTCGTAGTGTTAAGAATGAGGGTGGCTCTTTGACTTCCGTAAAACTTCTTTCAGCACCGAAGCAATTCTGTGTGCCA